GAGGGGAATACAAACAGGCCCAAAAACCTTTCACGTTATATATTAAATGAGGGAGATGAAAAGCCAACAGTCAACTCCAGGAAACAAAGCATCAAAGCCACGGAAAAGCCCCCATACAGCCACGGGAAACAGCCCAGTCAAGGACCCAAAGAGACAGCCGCAGAAACCCAAGAGGCCCGCACGGAACCGAGGCACCAAAGCACGGGAAAGGCCACCCAGCAGCCAATCGAGGAAGCCAAGGAGCCAAGCACGGAAAATAGCCAACATAGGAAATCCAAAAGCCATTTTGGAATCCCAAGGGACAAACTCAGAATTTTAAGAGATAAAACTATAAATAAAAAACTACATAAATAAGATATTAAATGAACTAAAACCTAGCTGATAATGAGCTAACTTTTAGTTCAATAAATGAACTAAAAACAAGCTCATAATGTGCTAAATTTCAGCTCAAAATTTATTGAGCTAGCAAGCTCAAGGGAAGTCAAAACCAATTTTTTTTGGTTTGATTTGACACCCCCCCCTGCCTACATCACTACTTAAGCTAATTCAATCAACACCATATAATTCTAACTACTTCTTTAATCACAGCCACTTGATTATAACAAATTCTATTATTATGCTAATTTAACTTTCCTCTCTTTATATATATAAATATCATGCACTGTTTCAAGATTGAGTTACAAAGAAAGACTGGGTTATTCCTTCTTCCCCCTATTTTTGGTTCTCTATTCTTTCTTGATACGCAGGTATGAAGGTTGAATTCAAGAACAACTAGTTCATCAGCAAAGTATGATATCTAATTCTGTCTACAACAAACTTCACACATCATGGATAAGAAGGATTTTACCATCCTGTCTTCTCACTATTTTGTTGAATCAATTTCATGCAATGTTCATGAACTGCCAATTCAATTCAAGTCACATGGCAAGACATGTTGGTCCAAAAGATATGCTAGTGAGGTAGGTCTCAAGCAATATAGAAAGTAAATAAGTATTTTTAATTTATACATTGAGGTAAAATGATTAATAAATGGCGCATTATGCTAACCAATAGAAATTGACTTGGCTTAAAATGTCGATGCTTGCAGACCTATTTCTATCTTTCCAGGATGGACGCAATGTAACATCAAATATATAAGCCCTCTGATCAAAAGAAAATTTCCTCCCTTATCTCAAAAAAGAGAGTCATCAAAATAAATCTTCCTCATCCAAAGGCCAGGCAGACACATCCCACATGAGGCGCTGATCCACAAGGACGATCCATAGTCATATTAAGTTGTAAGACATACTTGAATGAAAAATAAATAGCAAAAGGGACCATTATTGATGTGGATCCTCATCCAATGGCTTCATTTCCTTCATGCCGCTCTCTGTCCACTAGATCTCTTTCATGTGGATATATGTTTTAGCATAATTTCCTGTTAACAAATTCTACTCCATTCAATTATTTCCCTTCTGTAACTTCTACGGCTTTGTATTTAATGCTGGATTGAATCTGCATGCTCGACCCGGCTCCTCCATAGGAGCAAGCTCTAGAGGAGGCATTCTCTCTTTTCCTTTTGAGTCTCCACCTCCTGATCATCCCTTTGTCTTATTGGATTAGAGTTTTTCCTGCTTCCTAGATTGTTGAAGACTTCCCTCGCCTCTGACGACACCGTTTTGGATTGGACCTCGAGCAACTTCTTCAACATCTCCCCTATGCTGAAACAATTTCCGTCCATCTTCTCATTGATGGCTGAAATTTGACTTTTGACATCTGAAAGTTGAGTGTGGAGATCTGAAATTTTAGTTTTCAATTGTATGATCTCCCCTTCCAACAGTCTACCTTTCTTCATGTCATGGGAACTTCGATTTAGGCTCCAATAGCAAGAGCTGCAAGTTTGACGCAAATTCCGACCTCCAATCAGAGAAGACAACCCGATCAGATACGAAAAACAACAAAATTCAGTGATGAAGACTTCTATTTCAACCCAGGAAATTGCTCTGATACCAATTTGATATGAAATACTTGAAGATCTCAAGTAAACCCTAACAAGATTGAGGAAAACAACATAAAAACTCCACAAATCTAATGGAAAACAAACAAAAACGGTAGTTTTTATTGTAAAAATCAAACCAACGGAAAAGAAAATGCAAGATACAATTGATCCTCAATTTGAGAGGAGGATCCTTCTCTCCCAATCTCTAGACATCGCTAGATCCCAAAAAGCCTAAGCGATCTCAAATTCAACAAAATTCAAGATGCCCTAACCCTCGAAAAACAAACTATTTAATGCATATAATCAAAAAGGAAATCTCTAAATAGTCCCTTTGGACCATTGGACCCGGAGATTCGAGCGACGTACAGGAGAGGCGGAATTCTTTTGCCTCTATTCCGCCAAAGCCAACCCCGTGTGGACCGGCTGGACCAGTCCATTAGGCCAGTCTAACAGTGAACAACCATTTTTAAACCCTAGCTAGTGAGTTTCAGGTAATGACTTCAATAACTCTGGCTTTTTATTTGGTACTTGATTAAGTCTTCATACAACCATTGGATCCTCCTACACTTTTGTATTCACCTCACACCATGACTTCTGTTAGTCGGACGCATCATGCAACTTCTATTTGGCACCCCCTCCAATGGCTGTAACTGAATCTTCAAAATTTAATTTTTATTGCACTTCTACTCGAGTATTATGGGCTTCAAAAATTCATCCACTAGCCTCCCTGCTAAGAGAGTTTTGGGATGTTGTCGGTTAATTTTTAGAAGGCGTATTAGATTGAAGATAAAAGACTATCCAAAAACTAGGCCCTCATTTTGCGAGGACTTTATGGTATAGTTCCAAGTATCCCATACTTCTCCCGATAATAAGAGAGAAATTTCAATTAAGTCTAGTCATTAGCTAAGCGCTAGGTAACGTGCGTATAATAGGCACAAATTAATTTAGGATTTGCAATTGAAATTTATCACCCTATATTTAAAATGGATGATGGGGGATCACATGATTATGTTGTCCCCGAGTTATTGTGGTCAATAGTCTACTTAGTTAGAGGAGGAAGTTGACACAACCAGACTGAAGGATTCTTATTGATAGTTACAAGTTGCTTCGTCAAACAGTACCTTACAAATCTGAGGTGGATGTTTGTCTAAGGGAATAAATTCAAATTAACCTTAATTAATAAAAGGTTTTGTGCCCTATCAAATGCATTATATGATTTATTTATAATTGCAATGTAATAATGCTATTTTGCAGCAAAACCACCCCTTCAAAAGACCCTGAACATAACCATTTAAATGTGGTTCCATTTCGCGGTAGAACCACCAGTTAGAGGATACATAATATATCCTAAGGAGAGATCATTTGAGAATGAATCATAGCGATACGCTCGATCAACCATTGTCTCTTTGTGAGTAAAGATTATTCTCAAATTTATTGCTCTTGATAAACGATTACGAAAGGAGGATGGATTTTGATTTAATTATCTTGGATGATAGTTTTTTTTTTTTAATTTTGATAAATATTAGATTTTTATTTCTTTTAATTTAAGCATCAAATGATTAACTTTAGAATTTGGGAGCATTTTGAAAGATATTAACCCCTTCAATTGATATTTTTTGTCAACATGGCATCGTCAGGATTTTAAATAATTTTATTTTGTTATTTAAACCTTATTAATTTTGTCTACTTGTCAACATAGGATTAGGTTCGAACATCAACTTTGTGAATTTTCATACGAGCATTGAACTCAAGTATTTGGATTGTATAATGAATTTCTTTTGTAAAATACATTGAAGACCTAATGCAAATGTAAAACCAGATATCTTTGCAAATTTCACAGTTATATATTTATTTATTGAATTCAAATTTTATAAACTACAGTCCTTTCTTTTTAAGGAGGATGAAACTCGAAATAAAAGTTCACTTTTATTTTGGCACATTAAGTGTTTATGACCTGTAAATTTTATATGTTTCTGCATGACTTTCTACATCTCATACTTACAAACCCTAAAGCCTAAGTTATCCTACATTAATTATACTCGCAGGAATTTTATTTTTTTTAAGTAGAACCAAACACAAGGTAACACCTTGAATGGCTGGCCTTTCTAAACCTAAATTCCATAATAGTTTCCTTATTATAATAATTAATTCTGTCATTAGGAACATTTATTAAGTTAAACTAAACACATTGTAAAAACTTGAATGGTTGGCCTTTTTAAACCCAACCCATTATAGATTTCTTATTATAATAAGCCTCAATCAATCTATTTTAAAAATCTACCAAAGTTATGATGTTAATTGTCACTAAAACCATACATCATTTCAATGTACCCTATAAGCACTCTTTAAAATTTTACTTTCTCAATCCTTACAAACTAAAAATAGTTTCACATCGCACAAGCGTCCAAAAAATATTCCTTCCTACGATCACATGGATGGATCATAAATTGATTGCTTCTGCATACATTACCAGCATTAACACAATATATAGCATGAATAAAATGAATTAAACATGAATAAATTACATCAAGCAAGTTGAAGATAACTCAGAAAAGGACCAAATGGTCTATTGACTCTTTATGAATGACCAAAATGATCCCCAACTATATTATAAGGATCATTTTGGCCTTTCAAGTTTTTAAAAAGGAATCAAAATAGTCTCATAGTCGGATTATTTTGGTTCCACTTTAAGGAATTGAGAGACCAAAATGACTATTTAATTTAGTTGGGGACTATTTTGATCTTTTTCTAATAAATAATTCAATAAAAACTAAACAAGAAAATGTATTGCATAGATTAAATGAATATAATCAAAATTACATTAAACAACTTGAAGATACACAATCGAATAAAATAAGTTAAATAACAAAAACGAAGACAGAAAGCACAGCATGTCTGTCCAAGAGATCTTAATCCTATATATGCTTATGCAAAACTCGATTAGGTATAATCAAATAACGTATCTCAAGGAAAAAAATAACGAAAAGCACATGCCTATTAAAGATAAGTTTAAAAGAGATACCTTGATAAAATTGGCAGCTTTTGGACCACCATCCACATCAAAACTGTCAAGAAAATCAATAACTATAAATACAAACATAAGGATAACCCATCAACGTATCAAAATTTCACTGACTTGCAAAACTTTAGACATTAACAGATTTTAATTATAGAAAAACATGTAAAATTCTTTATTGAAGAAATTAGCAAACAATATGAACAGTTCACTTGAATCTAAAATTACAAGTTTCCCTTAAATCTTAATATGAGGACACTATCTTACCTCTTATCGAGAGAGACAATCAAGTTCGAATTAACAGGATGATATTTAAATCAATAACTTCCAGCTTCATAAAAGATTAATAAATTCCTTATACCTGACCATTATGAAAGTAAATGTGCATTTCACTTCTACAATTACCATAAGAATATTCTACATGCAGGCTAATGCTGTAAAAAGCAAGGAGATATGGTTTTTTTATGCCTGCGGCACAAGGTGCCCCTAGGGGTTCGGCTGGATGAAATTAAAGACAAGAAAAGAAAATAACCATATCACTTGTAAACTTACAAGTGTGATGAATATTTTTTAAGATTATAGTGGCAATAATCACAATAAATGTGGGAGAACTGTGATTTTTCAGATTCCATTGTATTCCAAGTTAAAACTTCTCAGTAAATTGATTTACATTGCATAGTGGCTGCAGAGTACAGACCTTTAATGGGTGATCTTTAGCAAGAAGTGAGAGTTTTGAAGTTTACACAAGCGACTACAGAGGGCGCTAAGGGAAAAGAGGTCATATTCACTCGTGATAATCTTATAGATGTTAAAATTGGTTTTGTGATTTTGAATCTACAATGCAATTTGGTTTTTGATTATATTATTCATTCAAAGTAAAGCTCGTATCATGTGTGATTGGAAGTGAGATACTTGATTATATTGATATATACTGAATTTTGTTTGTTATTAAGTTATTTTTTCTATTTATCTATTACATATTTAGATTCAAATTATTAATTATAACTTACGCAAAATTTTGTTACATGATATAATTTATAATTGATGAGGGTTAGATTATAGATACTGCACTTAATTCCTAGAAATTATAAAATGTTTTCATCCCTTGTCTTCACCATTTCAGAGAGCGAAAAACAATGAAATTATAATTGTGTAATCTAACTTATATTTTCCATTCAATTATGAATCGGTAGTACACCATGAAGTTTACTATCACGGGAATACACAAATGAGGTCATGTACAAGATTTTGTCTCTTGATGCATGCCACATGATTTTTTACAATCCATACCATGGGGAGCATGATGCCATCTACTACTAATGGCGATAGTAGTTCAAATTGGTAGAATATGATATAAGGTATACAATTTTCAGAACTACTATTATCCTAATTTTACCTCCCCCAATCAAGCAAATAAGATCATTACTACCAAACTTGATTTTATAATATTGCTCATGCGTGAGATGATGGTAAATGCATATAAGACCGGCTTTTGTGTTTCAGCTATGCTTGACCCTTCCCAGCACAAGCAGATTAACCACACTAGCAAGAGTTTTCTACCCATTCCAAGAGGTGAAGGCTTTACCACCCAAGCAAGTAATGGAGCACGAATTGTCATTGATCAAGAGGGCTTATCTTTTAAATGAACTCATATACCACTATTCTCCAATGGAGTAAGAGGACTACGTTGGAAGGCAGAACTAGTAGAGCAGGGATTGATACAGACGAACAATTCACTATTTGGATCACTAGAGGTACTTATGCTAAACAATGAAGAAGGAAACACAGAGATTCCTACAATTTAGGATCTCAATAATAAAGTTGAAGGAGTAGAGTAGGACTATTACATTGTTTTGATATAAAGACCACCATAGTGCAAGATGGGCTGAAGGAGATATTCAAGATCGCCAAAAGGGAATACACTCCCAAGGCAGTCAAATTAGTATTCGAAGGATTCTAACTCTTGACACATCGACTGCCATTCACAAGAACAAATGATGACAAAGTGGGATATCGTAATCCAGATGGATCTGAACCTATTGACTCAGAGTAGGCGAGCAATAAGACTAACTGGTTGTGCTCAAGAGTGGGTCCATGAATGCTTTTGCGCATTTAGGTTTGTATCCTAGCTCATATCTCTTGTTTTGATTTTTCACCTAGGAAGCAATCAATCCTTGTATTTCGGGATTAGTAACCTACAATCTAGGATAAGTAGTTATATATTTTAAATTTTAAGGAGATATGCTTTACTTGATTCATGCATTCAAATAAGGATATGAATATACCTCCTGTAATATAAATACAGTTTAATTGAACTATTGAAGTAATAGAGATCATGTTTTCAATTCTCAAAATTTTAGACATGATCTCCACAAGAAGAGATTGGAAGATGACATAATTAGAAGGGAGAGCAGTGGAAAGAGAGGTAATTTTCTGACTGCATGAAAGGATTTGCATCTGAGTCCAGTGTGGATGTATTAGTGTTCCTATTGTGGTAAGAGACATTATGGACCGTGTTTTTTAATGATTGGATAGTGCTTTAGATGTGGGCAATGAGGACCCCGGATGGCTGATTGTCCAATACAACGATTTCATATTTTCACCAATCCTCTCTCCTCCTCACCATCCCTCTATCCCCATTCTCCGTGTCCACCGCTTGCAGGAGCAAAGACTGCAAGCCCCTTTGCTCACTCTTTCCCCTCTCAGCTTTGGCAAGGACTAGAAGGAAAGAATGCTCAAGAGCAACCATGCGCAACAGGATTCTGGTTTTGACTATCTAAAATTCTATCCCAAAATAGAGAATCACTATAAAGAAAACAAGCTCCCCTTTATTGAAGAGTAATTACAACAAAGAGAAGAAGCAGAAGAGAAGGAATTATCTACGAGCTGAAGACCATTCCTTATTATTCTTGCATCCAGGACTTTGGGGTCATTTAACCAACCCTTAGTACTCAACTCTGTGGGTATTGGATCAGCATAAGTTTAGGGGATGAATGTGTTCACTCTGTGATGCTTGCTATATCTCAATCACCCCTACAAGACTTCATTTGGACAATGTTCAACAACAAGAAGAATTATTAAATCAAATCAAAAGTCAAATAAGGCCATCATTATTTCTTGTGGTTGAACCTTCCATATTTGGAATGCTATATTTTTTTGCAGCAACAAGAGAGAAGAGTATAAGGGAAGAATCAAGCTGAAAAAACAAAAATAAATAGGAGTGTTCTGGGATAAAAAAGTGCATATAAAAAAGTTATTAATTACAAGAAAACCAGCATAATGAAGAATAAAACAAGGGCCAAAAAAGCTGCTAACAAAGAACGAGCACCTTAAACAAGCCCAAAAAATTGCTGCTTCATTATAAATATCTGTAAGAAGAATGAATACCTCATATCAAATGCAATTCCACTCTGCTTTTCAACAAACTTCACAATTGGTACACGAGCCTTTGATATAACCTTAACAAAAGCAGATCACTATAAGACACGAGTAAAAGAGCATCTTTTGACTGTTACCGTCAAGAAAGATATAGCAATAGAAAGAAGAAAAAAGAAAATGGAGCACTGGAATCACTACTACTATTTAAACTCATATATGGTGAAATGACCAAAATATGTAGGCTGACCTGCATCTGTTTAGCAATTCCTTTTTGAGATAAGGCCCTAGAAAGAGCATAAAGACCAGTTTGAGGAGTTTTCACCTTTGAATCCAAAATCACAACCTACAAAAGTTCAAATAAGCTAGTCAAAAATATTATCATACTATCTAGCATTATTTCTGAGATAAATAACACCAAGGAAGGCTTTTTCATTAATAAATTAGAAAAACAAAAATATTAACAAACAACAAAGGATAAAAGGATCGTATATGAGGTGAAAACCAATAATTTTAAATGAAACTAGTTGAAAAAGCAATCAAGAACTAACATGCTTATCTTGAATCCCAAACATGGTATAAATTGTAAAATCAGTAAATTCTACCATAATGTCATTAGAATGCTTAAATCTGAAGATAAAAATACTTGCATCAATATCACTGGTGGGAAGATAGAGGCCCGTCCTGAATGATCCAAAAACTTCCACCTAAATTCATATTAAAAAAAGAAAAATACAGAGCAGAACATTTTTAATTAAATTTAGATATCAAATATGCGCAAAACTCGAAAGAAGCAACTACTGAACATACTCTGCAGTGCGGCCAGATATATTTGACCACCTGAAAGACACGATCTACAGCTGTTTCACGTTTGGCTTTTTCTTCAGGAGTTGGTGAAACAAATGCAGAAAAATCAAGTATCTCTGCGATTATCATGATGATTTGCAATATTAAATAATGGTTCATTCATAAAAACAACTCAGGTTGCAGATACTAAAGCACAAAATTTAACATAAGAATGGAAAATGTTCCAAGTCTACTACACCACAAGTCAACAAATGGTTCCATCTGGCATTGATGTCTTTTGTAGTGTAGTGCTATATTGTATAGTGTTGTGCTATCAAATAAGGCAGAATCATTTGAGAGCGTCTTTTTAAGATGTATAAAATGCTGTAAGAGTTGTTATAAAACACTGAAAGAATTGTTATTTGATAAAAAATTGTTGTGGCACTGATTTGCATTCCATTAATGACTGAAATGTATAATATAATGAACTTTATAAATATCTATAATATCCTAATATAAAAAAACTAAATAATTCATTTATTGAATAAAAACTAAAAATCACAAAAGCACTTTTGTGGGAAACTATATAAACTGTCATTCTAAAAACAAGTTATTTTTTAGCTACATACAACTGGCATTTCTCATACTTGTTGCACCAAACACCATACGGCTGTTCGGTTATTCAAAAAAGCAGAAACCTGAGCAAAAAAACTATGCTACAAAAGAAACCATCATTTTTAAATATCTCAAGTTAAAAAGAGTAATGGTGACTCTCATCTCTCCCATCATATGAATAAAAAGCTTGATGTTCACAACACAATCACAGGGTTGGATCCACCACAATTAAGGTCCTGCACCAATGTAATGCAGAACACCTCAGGATATAAGTTTTTCAAATGCAAATCCATCATGAGATGCATAAAATCACCCAAACGAATCAAATTCATAATTCGCAAACCTTTAATTAGACAACTACTTATTTCTTTGAATGCAAACTAAAAATATGAAAATTCCTACATAAATATTTTAATGGTCGTGAATAAATAATACATTTTAATTGAAAATAATGCTCAAGTCAAATAATAAATTGCATCAGACCAATTACTAGAAATTAAAGAATAAGAACAAGAAAGATAAGAGAGCATCAAATAGAAGAACCAAGCCTAATTTCAATACAAAGTGAACGCTACCCAAAAAACTATGATCCCCAATTGCATCAAAAGAAGGCTACAAAAAATTGCATCCAATTAAAAATCATTCAAAATAGAAACCAAGTAAATATTTCTTTACATGTCTGAAATCTATATATTTGTGATCACAAATTTCAATCAAATTATAATAACAAAATTAGAAGATTAAGTCGACAACTTACCCAAAGTGAGCAAACTGTAAGGTTCATATGACTAACAACAATCAAATCACAAGGAACACCTTAAATCATAGCCGAAAAGATCACATGAAGTGTAGCCACAAGAGAGAAAAATTGAAAGGAACAAAACCCGTAGTAGAAGATTGCAAGGAAGGCAAAACAATGACAAATCACATGAGCAGTAGCATACGAAAAACCGTAAGCGATGAGATTAAAAAAGGAAATTGCATGGGCATTGTTGAATAGAGATCATCCAAGAGGTAGCTAAGAGTCAAAAGTCGCAAGGCATCAAAGTTAACACGATACAAAATAGAGTTCATCAAATGGAGGAGAATTAATGTATGAAAGTAAGGATGACTTTCACTAAATCAATTTAAAAGCACATTATCATGAAAACTAACCATACAATATTTTTATTTTTATTTTTTTTAGAAATAAGAGAGTAAGCCTATGAAGTTTGGAGGGAATTTTTTGAAAGTTTAGAGTCTCATCAATTAACATAGAGGGAATTTTTAAATGTTAAACCCTTCTTTGGATGCTCATCCATCAACCTAAATTGAAAATCACCACTGAAAATAAAAGACTTTAATGAATCCTCCTTATTTGGAATAGTTTATTTAGTTTCCAAAATACGAGCTAACGAGAGGTGCCATTACAACCTATACGTGAATTTTCATGGAAAGATTTTTGTGTTTTTTTCCTTGTGTTCTCTTCTTTTTCTATAGCACATCATGCATCATTTATATCCCATGGTTCAATGAAAAAATAACTTGGATCTGTTGTAAGAACTTGTCACTGCAAAGAGTTGATGCTGTCAACTTTTGAATTGATTTGTGAATCAACCACAATTAAAATTTATGAATCCTAACATATCATTTTCTCTCTTATCTTTTACCTCAAACCTCATCACCTTTCCAATGCCTTGAATCACTTCAACCCTTACAAAAGCCAAGCCATACCCCTTCCACAAAACACTAATCCTAATTCATAAATTACTATCCATGCATTCAATTAAACTAAAACCACAACCATTAATTGGATAGCATTCCAAACTTCTGATTTGAGGTTTTCACACTTTTCTAGAAATGAAAAGCTGGCCATTCACTGGATGAAAGTCTGCCAAAAAATTGTCCAAAAATCATAAACGAATCAAGGTTTTCCTTTCTCTTCCACTAACCCTAAACTCTCCCCTCTCACTCCAACAATACTTGAAACGTCTTAACCACCTACCCATCAAGCGGTGAATAAGAAACCGAGAACTGAAGCAAGAAGGGAGTTCTGCATCACCATAAAGTTACCCAATCCCAGTCGTGCAATACAGTTTGGATGGTTGTAACTGAGTCATTATTTTTTTTCAAAGGCACTCTTCTGACTACTTAATCCAATCGCAGCTGTTCAAAGTAAATTTCAGGGATGGGAGTGCAGCTCCAAGCCTCAATAAATAAGTGGAGCAAGGTTTAAGACTGGAATCACAGTTGAAACAAATTTTTACTTCAGATTACTCCTACCCTCCTGATTTCTTGTGTAGGCTTGGCCTTATTCAATTGTATGAAGTTTAAAAATAAGTTTTGAAAAACACGAAATTTGTTAAAAGCATTTTATATTGTCGGGTATACTTAAAGATTAATACTGACTCCTTCACAAACTCCTTCAAAACCTCCTCAAATGTAATTGTTTTAATTTATAAGAGAAAATAAAATCATCATTTTTAAAAACATGTTTTGAATCCATAAGCAACCAAATTAGCCCTTAGGTAAAGTGAAATCTTACCCTTGTGTAGCTGAAGCATGGGACTCCTAAACCGGCTGCCGGCGCGGAACCATGTCGATTCGGAGGTAACTGGACAAGCCGCCTCCGGCGAACCTGGAGCGGCAGCGGTGGAAACTGATTGGAGGGGAAGAGACTCATCCAGTTCGCACTGCGGGGAATCACCAGAGACGTCGAGTGAGAAGTAATCGGAGACCGGAATGTCAACGATTAGGTCGGCGGAGGCCGTCACTTCGCTCCTGAAAACGGCGTATGATCCCGTGGCATCGGGATCGTGCTCCTCTGAGAAGCCCAAGGGGTCGAGGGTTTCGTATATGTAGCTTATGCTCGTGCTCTCTTCCCCCATCCGTCGAACACACGCTGCCACCCACAAAGTAGCGAGATCAAAGGTGGATCTGCGTGGCGGCGGTGAACGTCGGCTTCAGGGACTGCAGATATAATAGAATCATGGGCTTAATGGTGGAGATGAGTTCGTCACATGAGGCGGCATGCTCTACCTGCCCGTGGTGAAATTTGCTTGGTTTAATATTGCCCTAAATATATATATATATATATATATATATATATAAATAGGAGGGATAATCCTCATATTTATAAGAATTCATTTAGCTAATTTATTTGAACATCTAACTCCAAGCAATTTTACCTATGATTTCATTGATTGATTGATCAGATAGTTGTCTCTTTGTTACAAATTCTAGCAAAATGAAGTTTTTAGCAGTCTACTCATATCATATCTTTTAAGTCCAATAAAAATTATAAATTGTAATATTTTTTTATTTATAGTACAATATAATTATCATCTTATCCACTATCAACTCTTGTTGTTGCCCATTATCGCAAAAGAAAGGAGATAAGGTCATAGGCGGATAGAAGGGGAGACGAAGGTGATGAGAGGGGAGTTTAATGGTCTAAAGACTCTTTTTTCTGAATGAAAATCAATCAGCATATTACATACACTATTTCTCACATCAGCTTCAATTAGCACTGGTGGCAATTGTGAAAACTCATGTTCATATTGCTTTGTTATTTACTATAATTTTGAGTGTGTAATAAATCGTATTGGTGTTTTTTGTAAGCATCGTAACCAAATTCAAGAAATACAACGAGAGAATGTATTAAATAAATTACATAGTGGAAATTTTTTATCTGGGCAAGGCTTAAATCAAGAAATAATCTTTAGGCGTACAAGCGATACGAGGTGGGGTTCATACTATGAATTAATTTTAAGGTTAATTGCAATATTCTTTACAGTAATTGATGCTCTGGAACTCATTTTGGAATATGGTGTAAGCTCGGAACAAAAAGATGAGGCGTATGCTTTATTATAATCATTAAAGACCTTTAAGTTTTCTTTTAGCCTGCATCTCATGAAAGATGTTCTTGGTATTACTAACGAATTATCACAAGCTTTACAAAGAAGAGAAAAATATATTATAAATGTTATATCTTTGTTGTGTATATGTAAAATTAGACTGCATGATATAAGAGAAAATGAGTGGACTAACTTCATCAGTAATGTAATCACATTTTGTGAGCAAAATAAAATCAATGTTTCACATATGGATGATAAATGGGTTTCTCATAGTTGGCCTCATCGTGGAGCTCAAGATATTATAAATTTATATTATTTTCAAATTGAAATTATTTACACATTGTTTGATATGCAGCTTCAGAAGTTGAACAATCATTTTATAAAAGTAAATACCGAGCTGCTTTTGTGTATAACCTGTTTGAATCATAATAACAAATTTTATGTATTCAACAAAGATAAGTTGATTAGAATGACATAGTTTTATCTGACTGATTTTAGTCGTCTTGATCAGGCAGTTTTTGAAAATCAATTGGATACTTATATTATGGCTATGCGATCGGATGATCAGTTCTCTTCATTAAAAGATATAAAAATTCTTGCTGAGAAAATGATCCAAAGTATGAAAGATATTATATATCTTATTGTTTTTAGACTACTCGAACTGTCATTGGTATTACTCGTTGCTACCGCAGACGTCAAAAGATCATTTTATGCCATGAATATTATAAAAAATTGGCTGCGAAATAGGATTGGAGATTAATTGATGAATGTTTTTTTAGTTTCTTATATTGAGAAAGAAATTTTAGATTCTATTGATAATGGAGTAGGGGTGTAAGTGAGCCGAGCAGGCTCGCGAGCCTGCTCAAGCTTGACTAGTTTATGGGCTCGCGAGCCGAGCTTATCGAGCTCACGAGTCCAGCTCGAGCTCGAGTTCGAGCTTGAATCGGCTGGGGCGTGGGTGGGGGTGTGGGGGGGCGGGGCGGGGGGGGGGGGGAGCCGGCTCGATTAAACATTAATATTTTTTAAATAATTTTATTTTAATTATTAAATTTAAATATTAAAAAAATTAATAAAAACCACCTAAGTTTTATTTAAATTTTAAATATTTCATAATTTTTTAAAAATTTTAACTAAGTTTGAAAATTCTTGCTTAAATTTAAAAAATCCCACCTAAATTTAAAAATTTCCGCCCATGACTTGCGAGCCAGCTCGCGAGCCGGCTCGAGCTCGTTTGCAGAGAGACGAGCTCGAGTTTGAGCTCGCTTTCCAACTAACGAGCTCGGCTCGATAAGGGCCTAAACTCGACTCAACTCAACTTGTTTGCACCCTTATAATGGAGTAATCATTCAACTCTTTCAGAATATGAATAGTATAAGTTATAAATTATAAGTTGTTTACTATCTTATATTTAATATTATTATTTTTTGTTAATTATCGAACATTTTTTTTTTAACTATCTATGTGCCAGTCCCAAGTCCTGATGAAAAAGTTGAATGAAAATTTTAATAAAATGATTAGTATCAAAATAGATGTTTTAAATTTGGATTTGAACGAGATTCAAGCTAGTAGATCGAACCTTGTAATTCCTCATAACCTATTTATCTTTCATAGAATTACATTCATTTTATTCGCATTGCAATGAAGATAGATATGCAAATTAATTATTCTTATAGAGAGGTATAACAATGCTTGGGTCATATACAAAGGTGATGGTATGATCGAAAAAGTTATTAAGCATATTGAAAGCTGTAATTTATTAGGCGGTTGAACAATCCCCCTTCTTATGCAACTTCCATTATATGGTATTTATATCAAGCTTTGAATATGATTTTACAGGTTTTTATGTTCTTATCTTTTCAGCAAATAATAATGTTCGAATACATTTTGAATAAAATTCAAACAAGATTCGAATATAGTTCAAATATGTTTAAATATTATTTATATCTCGTTCAAATCATGTTTCAATCTAGTATAACAAGCATACAAAGACAACTGATAATTTTGACTAGCAAAAAATGAACATACATAAATAACATGTTTCAATATAACTTGCAATTATAGACATATACTTTTTATAATTGCATACTCAAACCTAATATTCAAACAATGACAAAAAAAATGCATTTAAATTGATTTTTCCAGAGATAATTGACATAGATAGTAACAATTTTTAACAAAGATAATATTCTTTTATAGAGATAACAAACTTAAATAATTATAGAATCGCATAAAGGTAGCAAATTAAAATGGTCAAATAATAAAAATAATTGTTTATAATTACATTCATAACAACAAACTTAACATTCAATGAAAGCAACTTGACAATGTTCTTTAAAAAAAAAAAAAAACTCCACTATCTCCTTATTTCCTATAGTATAAAATTAACCATATCTCTTGAGTTTGAAACATTAAGCATTAGTTGTTCTAGAAGCTTGCATCCTCATCTCAATGTGTAGCCAATTCATAATCAAACAATAAATCTATTGCTTCAAATTTTTGTGTACATGTATTTTTATCAATATCAATTTAATATTTAAAATCACAATCAAGGACATACATTTCAAAATTTTTAATAAGATATACAATTAATATTTGAGCTTTTGTTAATAGTTTGCCTAATGCTAATACAATCTCCTTTGACAAAGTATATTTTACATTTATTGCTAGAAAAGTTTGGAGTAGCTCCAGTGGAAGATAAAAGCCAACATTTTATGTGAACAAACCATCTAAGGTATTATATTTGACTTATATTAAGAAAGGTAGAAATAGATCTAAAAAGATTTGTTTAAAAAATATTAGAAATGATATTTCTTTATTAGATTTAAACAAAAATTTGACTTTTAATACGATACAATGGAGAAAAAGGATTAATGTAGCCGACCTCATGTAATGGGACAAATGCTTGATGTTGTTTTGTTGTTGTTTTTGTTGTTGTTGTATATATGTCAAAGAGCCATTGAACAAGTAGTAAGAAAATCATCTCAAACGAAACCTAAATAAAAAAAGTTTTGAAAGTCATTCTATGTGAAACAAGGATTAACTTGGTCTATCAATTTTGATAACAAAGGAGTTTATAGCCAAATTCACTCTTTTGTTGTGCATAGCTTAACTAGTGGGATAATCATAATAAAAGCTACCAGAGTAATAGTTGGATGAAAATAAGTGGGTAGGAAGATCACTACAATTTATTAAACCCTAAGATTATAAGAAGGGAGGCCTGAATGATCAGAACTCTACGTCTTAACCCATTTTGATACTTTTTTTTATAACCGATAAACTAAAAAGTTTAGGATGCTTGATAAAAAAATAATAAGATTATACCAATAAGTAAAAAAATAGAAAAAAATACTGAACATATTATTTGACCTGAATCTAACTTGTTTAATAAACGAATTAGAAAATTTGACCCGCATATTAAATAGCTCAACCCAAATTCAAAATTTTCAAATCGGATCATCTATTGGCACCCATAATCTTATCCTACAATAAATATTAAAGATTATCTCATATCTTTAAAACTGATAAATCGTTACTGATTAGCAATGGCAATAATGTCATTTATGAAAGTAATGAATAGATGATGAGCACATTTATAAGAAATAAATTGCATTAAAAAAATCAAATCCTCACTCTCTCAATATTATAATCTACAATAAATAATATAAGCCTCTAAGTTCTTATTATAAGAGTAAAGAATGTAAGATGAGGATCCAAGGGGGACTAACCCAAAAAAACATTTATATAAAAAAGGAAGGTGGGAAACCAATCAAGTCAAAATAACATGGATGGCTACAATTTAAATTAGGGAACTCACAGGGTTGAGAGTGATGGGTTCAAATTATGCCAGTCGAGTAAATTCACATACAAGTATAGCAAGGCTTTTTAACTCTAGAAGTACAAGGCTTTTAACTGCAGAAGTATATGAGTTTTCAATATATGAATCTAAAAAATGAAGAAAGCAAAGGCAATGATTCTGGAGTTAGCAAAAGAACTAGACAATGCATCTTAGAAGGCTGCTAGCTAAGGCAGGCAACATGTACACATGTATGTGTGGTACTAAAGTCGGCAAGTCGATGAGTTGAGGCCAACTCTTGCAAGCTAAAAATGTCATCTTCAAGGATACAACAATTTATCCTAGTGTAGGATGCAATAAATGTCTTCTCCCAAGGTCGACAAGTCCACCTCAGGGTAGGCAACAACTTACAAGA